AGTTAATATGTTTGTTCAACCATTCTCCTTCTTTATTTATGTTTAATTAAGAGTGTGTCTTCTAGACTTACATTGCCTGCAATTGATTCTATCATTTCTAGCTGTGTAATCTGCACAAACTCTTTCCTATAGCTCAAATTCCCATGATGCTTTTGTGAAAGTTAAATGAAACAACGTAAAGTATTAAAACAGTGCTAAACACATGATAAGAACTCAGTAAGTGTTAGGTGTTAGTTATACAGATCAGGATCCTCTTAGGAAAGGAGATTACCCAGACATGTGATTTTTTTATATATATTCATATATATTCAGAAAGATATATTTATAGCATTGAGTGCAACATTTTTTTTGTAATTTTGAGACAGTCTTGCCAACACTAACATGGAACTTGTGATCCTCTTGCCTCAGTCTCCTTAGTAGCTGGGATTACACGCATGCACCACCTCGTCTGCTTTTAACCTCTTTCTGAAGAACTCAGAAAACCATTTGGCAAAATGGAGGTGAAGTGTGTGGATTCTCATGTAATACATACTGCATTTCAAAGTTAAAGACAGAATTAGGAAGACAACTTACACCTGGAATCTTCACGTCTACCTGGGCCAAAATCTTTGCCTAATGGCTATAACTTCAGCAGCCACTAAGTTCCTAAAAGCAGCGGTTCTCTCTTTTTTTTTTCCCCCCCAGCGGTTCTCAATATAGAATCTAGACCATTAGCTTGACCTGTGAACTTATTAGAAATGCAGTTTTCAGTCTCTGTTCTACAATCAGAAACTCTCAAGAGGTCTATAAATGGGTGCTTTAACACGTCTCTAGTGTAACTCTGTTTTCAAGAATGCAGAAGTGTGATAATTCCTACCTTAGAACAAAAGATATCTAGTCAATGACCTATCCATAGCATGAGGATAATGACAACTAAGAGTTCCCCATTTGGGGAATCACATTTGTAAATTAAGCAGTAACATTCAATTTGAAAGAACTAAATTAAACACAAGTGGTAATTTTATGCTATACATTTATAAACTACTCATAAAGATGAGAGCACCCAAAAAAGTGAGGGCAACGAAGAGGCAGGTGCAGAGAAATACACAATGTTCAGTATCAGAGGGCAACTGGTAAAATGAATCATTACACACTGATTTTTACACCTAAAATTGGAAAAGATTTTTAAAAAGTCTAAATTTATGTTTTCCTGCTACACGCTAGAGGAGTTTTCAAAATACTATGTAATTTTTACTAAGTTTAACTATACCTAGGCTCCTTGGACCAAATGGGCAAAACAGAGAAGGAAACAGATATAGCTCATAGTTTATTTCTAAATATTTGGCTGGCAATGATTTTCCCTAAGAAGATCTTATCTTGAATGGTGCAACAATGGGATACTTCTTACTGTTTACATAATAAGAGTGTTATGCTTCTCCATCCAACATTTCTCAAAATTCTTATGTCATTCAAAACACAAAGTTAAGAGGAGGGAGGGAAGTGAAAAAGGATGTAAAAAGAATTAAGATGTGTTATATACGTGTACCGACTCCCCATGATGAAAATATTAAAAAACTGCCACAAAGTTATCTGCTATTTGAGAATAACCAAAAAAGTTTGAGTCATTCATAAATAGCTTTTGTAGCTCATTAAGAAAAAAGAAAAGATGAGTATTCCAATGGTAAAATGGGCCAAGAACACAAGGCAATTTATTTATAATAAATACAATATCAATACAAACATAATGTTTTTTAAAAAAGCAATGCTGTTAGTAATCAAAGAATAAAAAATAGAACATTAAGACAATATGTTTTGTCCATCTCTGGCAGCATTACAAAACTTTAAACTAGGATTGATGAGGAAGTTAGAAAACAGATACCCTCATATTCGCCAGTTTAAACTGCTGTAATTTTTGGTAGAGCAATTATCTGATCTATCCACTGGAAGGCTTAAAAATGTGCTTACCTCAGCCAGGCATGGTGGTGCACATCTATAATCCTAGCACTTAGGAGGCTGAGGCAGGAGGATTGTCATGAGTTTGAGGCCAACCTGGGCTACATAAGCAAGTGTAATATGCCTGCACTACATAGTGAGACCTTCCAGTTAAAATTTTAACTTCATTATTATTTTCTCCAGAACTCAAGCAAATATATATGGCAGTGAGTGCCAGGCATGGTGGTACACGCCTATAATCCCAGTACCTCAGTGACTGAGGCAGGAGGACCATCACAAGTTTGAGGCCAGTCTAGGCTACAGAGTCAAAATTCAAGGCCCAACCTGAACTATAATGAGATCCTGTCTCAAAAGACCAAAAAAAAAAAAAAAAAAAAAAAAAAAGACAAAGTTTTGTGCATTTATTTTGATTTAAAGATGGTTATCCAGAGCTGGGGTTTTAGTTCTGTGGAAAAAAGCACTTGTCTAGCATGAATGAAGCCCTTGAGTTGGATTCCTGGCACCACAAAAAAATTATTTAAAATAAAGTTTTTATAAAGGATGGCTTTGCTTCTTCTTAAAGTATACATGGACAATTTCACACATATACAACAGTAAAGGGCCAGGGATTTCGTTCAGTGGCGCAGTGCCTGCCTGCAAACTGTGAGGCCCTGAGTTTGATTCCCGGTACCAAAAAAAAAAAAAAAAAAGTAAAGTACTGTAATGGTCTCAATATACTCATTATTCAGATTAAAACTGAACAATATTTGGCTTTCTTTTTCCTTCTAATTTATACTTTTACCTCTGCTTGCCCAGGTTATTTTGAAGAAAATTCTTGATAACAAATCATTCATTAGAATACGGGTTTTGAAGTCATACAAATAGGAGTTTCTAGTTCTACACTTCCTCACTAGCTACACTGCATTACTTTTCAGATGCCTACATATAATCGTGTTTGTTTGTTTGTTTATTTATTTATTTATTTATTTATTGTTTTTGAGACCAGGTCTCACTATGCAGTTTAAGTTGGCCTTGAGCTCACTTTGTAGCCCAGGCTGGTCTCCAACTTGCAAGGATCCTCCTGCCTCAGCCTTCAGAGTGCTGGGATTACAGGCATGCGCCACCATGCCCAGCTCCTACATATGATCATATCACAAAGAATTTTCCACAAAGAATTCAGAACCTATAAAACTAGAGCTCCACAGAACATGCCTGGGAAATAATATGTTAAGTGCTAAATCAATGATCATGAAGTAATGTCTTCATGGATTACTACCAGCTCAAATAAAATATACTGTTATTGACATCTTTATATATGCCACTGTCTTTCACACAAGAATATTTGCCTTATATATTCCACGTACTGTGGGCAATGTGCGCTTAGTAAATATCTGTTGAATGAGGATCCAAGCTAACCCAAAACTGTGATTAATCATAACCAGTAACGAAACTGGTCACGTTGCTACTGGTTAGTCCTTAAGATATTTTACATTTCTTAGTAATGACCAATAGAAATTTGAGGAAAATGTCTATCTCCTTCAAATTTCTAAAGGGCCAAGAGTTCCTAAAGATTCCTTCTGACACACCCATAGTAATCAGCTAGGTTAGCCAGGGTCTTGTGCATGCTAGTGAAACACTGTATCACTGAGCCACATCCCCAGCCTACCCTACCACCAGTTTCATTGAAGAAAAAATGTGTACGTGTGTATACTCAAAGTTAAATATGATTATAAAAATGACAGCAATGTTAACTCTGGGTAATGGGATTATATATATTTTTTGTGTGTTTTGCAAATTTTCTACAATGAATAAATATTGAGAACAAGTTTTTAAAAATTTATATTCAATATAAAGTCACATTCTCAATCTTCTTTTTTTTTAGTCAGGCCTCGCTATGTAGTTCAGGCTGGCCTTGAATTCATGCAGCCCAAGAGGGCCTCAAATTCATGGCTATCCTCCTGCCTCTGCCTCCCAAGTGCTGGGATTACAGGCAGGTGTCACCACACAGAGCTCAGTACCCCATTAAATTGCTCAGTCTGGCCTTGAAATTACAATCCTCCTGCTTCAGCTTTCCCAGTAGCTAGGATTACAAGGACACACTACCAGACCCAGCTTGGAATTTAATTTTTACTGATTTTTTAAAAAACTTCTATCTCGGTCCCTGGTGTATACTTTCTCTGGGTCAAAAGACTTCTTCCTTGGAAGCCACCCATAGACTCCTACCCAAAGGCCTTTACCCCATGGGGATGTGATGCTAAGGACTCTGCAGAAAAATAAGACACAGGGTAACCACCTTCCATCTCAGCACAGGAGATTCTGCCCCACAAGATCTGTGGCTACTACTTTCCTTGCAGAATGGCTCTCACAAGAGAAGAATGAAGCAGCCCAGACTGTCCTACTTGCCACTTGGCTGAAGAACCAACTGTTAAGCAAAGAGTAGGAGCGCCACAGTCCTCACCAGCACAATAGGGAATGGGCTTTGTTTTGTATAAACAGACAGACCAAAAAAAAAAAAAAAAAAGTTCAGGTTAAAACACAGTCCTTAGAGGAAGGAAAATAGAAACCAGGCAGCGAGGAATGCTTCATATTCCTAAAAGCTTTTTTCGTAAGTTAACACATGGTGTCTGCTTCTCTCTAGTCACCTATTTATCACTCTCCTCCTTAGAGAAGGGAAAAAGCCCTGGCTGTTTTCCTAGTGCAGAGTTTTGTGGCTGGGGGAAGAAGGAAAGGGGGAGGAAGGAGGGTGCTTTAAGCATGATGCAAACCATTTGGAGCTGAGTGAGAGCACTGCCAACACAAGCTGCACTATTTAAACAAGTGAGGAAATGATCGTATATACAACATGCCAGCGAGCGAGCGCACACGCACACACACACACACACACACACACACACCAAAGGAAGTTGAGAGGGCTTTTTTTCAGGACATAGAGCTGGATGTCAGCGGCTAAAAGGTCGATATTTTCCCTTAACACCCTTCTCAATGACTTAATCATGTTCCGTTTGCATAGAAAACTTCCCAAGAATAAAAAAAGTCTGGAGAATTAAGAGGAGGGGTGAATGGGGAGGGACGTTTGGCCTGGTGCTGACCTTATCCGAGGTTTTCTCCACGTAGCAGGGGTCCTGAGGGGCAGCTAGCAAGGGGACAAAGCCTGAGAGAAGCCGATCCTCTTCCAGGATAAGGAGGGTGAGGTCATCATCCGGGTCCTTGTACAGTGGCACCTCAGACTGATTCACTGCAGTCAGTATGTTACAAAAATCAGCCAGCGTTGACCATACATCCACAGCAAACCTGTGAAAAATAAGGTCAGAAAGAAGAGCAGGTCTAAAGAGGGACCAATAAAAGTACACTCAGCATTTGTGAGCAGAATACTTGCAGCGAAAGTTGTCCAAGCTGGCAGCTGCCAAGAAATCATACTAAAAATGCTAGGATTCAAAATTCTGCCCGTGGCAATAACATTGGTATGAGTGGCCCTCTATGCAAAGTTTAAATTGATCAGGGGGAGTTTTAAAATCCTAACCAGAGAGTAAAAAGAATTTGGAGAAGTAGTTGCCTAATGCGGGTCCTATCCCTTTTCGAGACAACGCTCTGAGGTGCTTAAGGAAACACTCTACATACCCAGTGCCTGAGGCAGCTCCCAGAATTTTGCCTTCCTGAGCAACTGAGTATATACCACACGGACAGCAATGATCCCAGCCCCTTCTTCCAAATACAGCTATGGGGGTCCAATCACACTATGCAGTCATGTGGGTTTTCCCTTTTTGATGCTTTAGAATTCTCTTCCAATCAAACAGATTCAGAGAAAACCTCATTCCTGGCCTGCCAAGAGCCACTCAAGAAGGTAAAACTGCTCAAACATTTCCGCAGATGAACCGCTATCAGTGCTGTCTTGACCATCCCAGGCCCTACCTGTTCTCTCACTTACGGAAGGTTAGATACAGGGTGACTAGCCATTCTAGGATTGTCCCAGTTTTAGCACTCAGAGTATCATCTCTCTCCAAATCTTCCAGTTCTGGGCAAATCAGGATGGCTGGTCATCATGATTGCATATCACCAAGTGCTGGCTGAACCTGAGAAGAAAACCTCCAAATGCAAAATTTAGCTCTCCTCATTTAAAATTCCAAATAGAATTATAAAAGAGGGTTCATTTCTCTATCACTTATCAGATGTTTTCATCTACTGTGGGTTCAAATTCCCGCTTTGGTGAGGGCCTGCCCAGGAATACCTCAAATTGTGGTCAGATGCACTGCCTGCCAAATGTATAGATTTGTCTTTCTACTCCAGAGAAACCCTTAACCTGGGAATCTGGAATAGGCAGTACCCTCTGGATGCTAAGTTTTACTCCAAAAGGAACAAAATGCATAGGAGAATTACAAAGAAAGTTTCACAGTTAGGTTCAGGAGGTGGAGTAGAAGAGAAAATAAGCAAAAGTAAGTTGTAGAATCATCCTGGACTCTCCCCTGGGGAGTTACTATGCATGAATCCTGCCTGGAGGGAGGGGCCTCAGACCTAAGCAATTTGTTTTATCTGGAGACTAGGAACCATTGGGAGATGGTGGAAGAGAGAGCATTCAAGGGATATGTCACTGAAGGTGATGCTAAGGGAGAAGGTGGGGAGAGGTATGGGAACTCCCTGATTGGCTCCAGGTGGAAGGAGATTGCAATGGTTTATTTACTGTAATCACTGCACTAGGAAAAGGCAATGAAACGAAACATCTTGTTTTCAAGAGCGTCCTGGGAACCAGGTGGAACATACCCCCATTAATCACACAACAGCACATAATCAACACACGTGTACTGCAGAAGTAACTCACTTCACAGGCTTTGCCCAGGAAAAAGAACATGTTTGAGAAGAATCACCAGAGGGATAAGAGTTTCCTAAAGCCTCTCTGCACAGACACCGACAACCAGACTCATTCACAAAGCTCCATCTTTTGGCTCAGCCTGGTTTGGCTGTCAGAAATGTTTAAATATGGAAAAAAATAAACAGTTGCAACACGTTTCTGTGCAGAGATCTGCTTGAGCCCCTTTGTGATGTAATGGGAAACGCGGCATTCAGGCTACCAGCTGTAGAATAAACAGAACTTTGAGGGTTAAAAGGAACTGAACTTTCCACGACCCCATCTGCAGAGAAGAAAATAATAAGAGGAATGATGCACTGCCCCACAGCTCTGATAGTTTATCCTCTGGTCCCGGCTGCAGAGACAAGCACCGGATGTGATAGGGCTGCTCAGGGCCGCCTCTGAGGTTAGTGCTGCCCATGGGAGACGCACAGGGAGGTTCTTCCAGTTCCCCACTTCCTCCCCCAGTGCCCTGCTGGCCACTTGAGCCCACTGCCTGAGTCTGATCCCACAGCACTGGTGAGCTTTGGCCAGCAAGCATTGCTCGGCTGCAGAGCAGCAATTTGGAAAATAAACAGGAAAGACGACAGTGAGAAGAAAGGTGAAAAGTCTCCCAGCTGAATTCTTGGCTTTGGGGCCCTGGCTGGTGCTGTGCAGGTTGAGGCTGCAGTAGGACTTAATTGGGGGGTAGGGTGAGGGTGTGAGCAGCAGCATCCCCAGCCAAAGAAGGGCTGCCACCGTGGGAGGCCCCATAACCCTCTCTTACCCTCCCACCCCTACCATCTTGGATCCAAAACGAAGAAATATGTGGTACCATGTGGTTCTCATTACCATGCTCTCCTGTCCCCTAAGGCTCAGATAAACCAAAAGTGACTCCTCCCAGAGATTGCTGGCCACCACTAGGGACCCCTGCCCACATCTGCCTTTTGCCTATTACCACCCACCTTGTGCCAAAACCTTAAGACATTACAAAAATAAGGTAAATGAGATCTGCTACCCTAATGTTGATTTTGTAAGACAGCAGCTAGTGCCAAAAGACATAGGAAGTACCACGAGTTCCCAATTCAGAAATATAAGTAAAAGTGGTCCAAGGGTCAAGCTAGATTGATCAGAACCAAGGGAATACATAAAATGCTTCAATGAAAGGTCACTTCTGCCCAAGATTCAGCCCAATCTTGTATATGAACTTTGATTCTGAGTAGTTGCTTTCTTTTGGTATCTCAGTGGGACTGTCCAAGCTCAGGTCACATTTCATATCATCAGTTATCTCATCTCACTGAACACCACAGACATGAACACAATTACATAGATGTCCCTGGGCCATCTACTGACTCTCTACAGCAGTGTTGGTGGGAGAAGTATCAGGAAACTAATTCTGAAAAATGGAGAGGTGCTTTGAAAATGCAGCTGAGATATCTGAATTAAAAAACTGGTATTTGAAAGGGGACCAGGTAATTTCTGGAACCTTGGCAATATGACCTCAGCTTACCCCAATCAAGCCTTTGGGCTAGGGCAGTTCCATGGTTGAACACAGAGTTTCATGTCTGAATGCAGGGAGAAAAGCTTAGCTTTTTCCTGTTTTAGTTTCTTATTTCAACCAGAGTGCCTTCTAAACCTTCACCCCCACATCAGCTCTTGCACCCTAAGGATTCAATATTGGCTGAGGAACCCAAAATCAAATTCTTATGGTTATGAAGAGCTGTTTAAACAGCTCCCAACCTTCTGGAAAAGCTTGGGAAATGACTCCCCGAAAGGTTTTTCTGATAATCTCAAATCACCTTTGATTCTCTATGGACCCTCTAGAGTGCTGTGGGCTCAGTCAAATCCTTTTGGCTTGTTCTGGTTCAACTTACATTTTGGGGGAGCTCCCAGAGCTCACAAAATTACTAAAGTTAGGGTATACTCATCACCAAATAGACAAAAAGCAGCCAGAGAATATGAAATTGTGCTTAATAAACCCATTTATGGCTCCCAGAATGGTGGCAAGGGAGTCTGAGCAGCTGGGATGTGATTAATGCACAGGGATCAGCAGTTGCAGGGCGACCCATGGGCCCAGCCCCACAGAACACACCACACACCAGGAAGCAGACCCTTAGCTGGAGTCTGAACACCAGATCCTTGCATGGGACAGACCAGTAGTGACTAGTTAGAGGTATGAACTCAGAACCAAGGCCCACTCACTTCCCTACAGACATGCATTCACTTACTCCACCAGGAAAGGAAAAAAATAAGAGTTAATTTACTTTTTATTGCCTCAGAATTCCAAGGTTTAATGTAGCTGTCAGTTTGAGTGCGGTGCAGCTGCTGGCCGATACAATGCAGCCCAGGCCAGCCCAGGTGACTGGGGAAACACATTTCACAGAAATGAACCAACACACACTCTTGGCTGGTTGTTTGGGGGATATTGACTTGGGGAATCAGATTAACCCTTCAGGCAGGGGTTAGTTCTGCAAATAGCATTAAGAAAAGGCACTTCAGTTGAGGGAGCTAAGAAACCCTGCTCTAAGGTGGGCCAGTGGGTTTCTGTGTTTCTAAAATTCTAGAGATCTCTCATAGGATATGTTATACAACTAAAACATGCCCTGAAAGATTAAGGTGTGAGATACGTGAGGCGTGTTATACCACGACAATCTGTCTCCTTGCCTGGAACTTAGAAGGAAGGCAGAATTGCCAGGTTTATAGGGAAGGGGTCAGTCAGGACTCCTGTGAAAGCTCCCACAGGGGTGGGGCCAAGGACAGTGACAGTTGGGAAGCGTCTGACCAGGATTCAGTCTTTTTTTCTAGAAAGACTAAGGAGGACTAAGTACTCACACACTCCTTCATATTTTTACTGGGGGAACAGGCTGACTGGTGATTAATATCAAGTACAATGACCCCATGTTACAAGCCTGCAGGGGCCTGTGGAGGTGGCCATTTCCTGTGTAATACCAGCTTGTTTAAACACTAACATTCAAACTCCACAGCTGCAGAACAAACCCGGAAAGAGTTGAGTGAGAAGAAGCCCTGCATTGTGTTTCAGAGCTATGGAAGATCAGAGAAATACTACAGATGGGAAACAAGTTGAGTCTTTTGGTTCCTGGGATGAGGAGATTTGGAAATATAGGCAAAGATGGTACAGAAAGTAGGCACAAAGCAGCTGAAAAAGAGAAAGCCATGGACAACATCTACAAAAGGCAAAGACAAAAATACCATAACAAGAGAAATTCTCTTAAGATATGTAGTGTTTACTTTTGAAAACTTAATTCCCTTTTGGAGCCCACACCTTTCCAATTCACTTGTTCAGTGGCCAACGTAAGCCCATCGCTGCCCTGGAAGACTTCTTACCCAACCGAAGAAACCACGGGGAGGTGAGCAGCTAACAGCAGAAATGGACCTAAATCCAACAAGTCTGGTAAAGTTAAAAGAATATTACTTGGGATAAAAATGGCTTAGGATGCTCCTTTAGAAAACC